TTTAAGAATTGCACCCTTCCAGTTACAACTAGAAACAAAATAGTGCCATCCAATAAATGCAACCAAAATTTCAGGTGATTTTAAGTATTAGCTCTTGATAACGATCGTGTCTAGAGTTGCAGAAAACACGTAGGAGACAACTCTGAATGAAGGCAGCCTTAGAAAGCTGTTGGCTGTTTGCGATCCGTGATATGCAAAGAGGCTATGGATTAATTTTTGAAATGATCTTGCGACCATTGCATCTTTCTTCAGCACCGCTGCTTGCTCTACAACACACAAATAAAGGAGGCTCATGTTCCGAAAGGTACCACAACCAAACCCCGCATTTGGAAGTTAGAATCAATATGTAGGTGGTTACTTCCTCATATTCGGCACCTAAGTGCGTATTAATTCAAGATCTTAATGTCCTGTTAAAGTACCTGCATTTGCAAAATTGGGTCTACTGGGTGTATTTGGCTTATCCAAAGATCTTTTCTAATGGTATATGCTCATTAAGGCTATCTGTAATATTCCTGCGATGATATAGTGTGGGCCCTCACGAATTTAAGTACCATAAATGCTTTGGTATCAAACCTTTTGCTTGGTGTCTTCTGGCTCTTTGTTCTCTTTCTATAGTCAGAAGAAGGAAACATGGATTAAATTAGATTAACCTGGATCATTCTAAATATGTTGAATTTGAAAAAGCTGTGTGAAATTTCTTCCACTGTCTAGTTTGGTTTAATTGCCAAAGGATTGAACAGAAACTAAAGTATCTGAGATGCGTGGCACACTGCTATGCTTTAAACATCTGCCACAGCTGTGAGAGCCTGTTATGTCAATGGTGGCAGTATTGAAGCTGTTGCTAATGCTGCATTGTTGCCTGCCTTGCCATGGTTTGACATGATTAACTATGTAAAGATTATGGTGATATTTGCCTTTCTGAGCAGTTCATTGAACCTGCACACGTGCTGCAGATTCACCTGGGCCGTGCAGCACTAGGAGCTCCCAGAGACACCAGCTCCTGTTTGTGCCATTGAAAAGCTTGGGGAGTGACTGTGAGCGAGGGCTCAGGACTTGGACCTTATTTTCTGATACCAGGCGTTGGGATGGAAAGAGCTGGCGGGTGGGCAGGGGTGGTGAGCAGCAGCTTCCCTGAATCCGAGCAGCACCTTCTCCGGTCACTCAGCTTGATCACAGCTTACGCTCCATGGAACAAAGCAACATTTCAAAAGACATTGTAATCATTTTTTTCCATCCTGTTGTAATCTTGCTTTCAGAAATCTCTCAGTGAAGAATCACGCTAGAGAAATCCAAATGAAAGCAGCAGCGGAGAAAGGCAGCTGGCATTATTTTGCTGTGATAACTAAGCTGGATGGCAGCTGTTTGGAGAAATATGAGGCAAATTTCCTTATCAGAACTATTTTATTCAGCAAATTTTGTCTTCCAGTCCTAAAAACCTGGATGCTCATCTGTATTGCCCAACATTTTTGGCTACCAGATGCTGAAGTTTGCAGTCTGATTGACTGTACCGGTGTACCTTCTTGCTCCTTTCCTTTGTGTTTCCACCTTGGACTATGTGCAAACAAACAGGCTTGGGAAATGCCAGCTGCACATATTGCTCTCAGCCACTGTATGGGCAAGCAGCATCGCTTTAATGGCAGACACAGTATTTAATGTACTATCAAAGCAAATACATAAAGGACTTTTGCCAGTTGTCTGGCTTGCAGAAACAGAAAAAAGCATTTTAGGTCTTTGTGGTGTGCTTTCCTGCTAAAGCAGGTTTGGTCCCTGTGGTATTTTGTAGAGTGCTTCCCTGCCCTGCTTTACTCGACCTTGCAGGGTGGGGAGAGCTGAGTGGGTGGACTCTGCTCGTACCCTTGAGAGTCTCTGTCTAGTTTGGAAAACATACCATGGAGCAAGGAAAAATGGGAGTACAGAGAATTCAATTACCAGCACAATATTTAAGGTGTTTTTTGCATGCTCTTTCTTCTCCAGCCTACTTGCTATGCTTTCAGTGTGTCACTAACATCAGATAGATGTAAAAGGTGAAAAAAAAAAAAAATAGGGGCAATACTCTGTCATTGCATGATTGCTCTTCTTTCTCTTAGCAGGAGATTGTCTTCGGTGCTTTCTTCCCCTGCAAGGAGAAATGAATAGTAAGACCTGCAGTGATTGGCAGTAAGCCTGAGAACAGCAGATGTGAGTCTGCACAGCTGGACAAAGAAAAAAATGCACTTTGCTACCTACATTTGTATTAAGGTTGCCCCAGGGATACCACTGTGCCTACGTGTGACTTAGCATATGAACAGCAAAAGCCATCAGGCGCATTTACATATATAAGAACACTTGGTGTCCTTTTCAAAGTTAAAGAGAGCAATGATTAAAGCAACATAAAGCAAATTTGGCTGACTGGTTGTTCCCTCAGATAATAGAATGACTGAATGAGGGAGGAAAAAAAAGGAGTAAGATTGACAGAGATGAAGAATTTATGAATTAAACCAGCACATTTTCATTTCATTTACTGTTGTCTACTAGTTTATTACATGGGAATCTAAAAGGGACTTGATTTTGCCCCCTAGGCTGTAGTTGCTATGCTAGGCGCTATGGTTAGATGTTTTAGATAAGATTTTAATACTAAAGCTTCTTACACAAAAAGAGAAAAAACCTTGCTAGAAAGGGAAGATTAAAAAGCCTCCTTTTCCTCCTGGGTGCTTTACTGCAGTTTGTCTGTTTTGCCATACGGTGTGCCGGAATTTGTCCTAACAAAACAAAGTGGGGGTGTGCATGGGGGCTGGTTTAATTATACTTATTAAGAAAAAAAAAAAAAAAGAAGAAGAAGAAGTGGTGTCGTCTGCCTGTGTTTATTTTAAATTGCTTGTAGCAGGAATCCAGTTCTCCAGTGGGATCTGTGCCCAAGACTTCCCTGACCGGTGCAGAGCAGCAGGTGCCTCCCCAAGCCCCACGGCCAGCGCAAAGTGGGACGCTTGGGGGTCCTGTCCTGCCCACCCTGCTCTTTCCCCACACTGGCAGCAGCAGCAGGTATTTTAAATGCAGCAGTGATGTGTCACACCAGAAATTACAGGGAGCCTTTGAAATGGAAGAGGTCCCACCGAGCTTAATAGCCATGTAAAGACAACTGTTGGGTCTGTGGATGCAACAGACCTAACTGTTTTTGTATCCCAAAATTGCAGATTTTTTTTTTCTGCTGAGAAAGGTGGGGTGGAAGAAGAAAAAGCAAATGTTTCTGCACAGCAGAAAATGTCAGCGCTGTTGCTTGTTCCTATTCTGAACCACAACAGAAAATGAAAAAGCCAGAAATTAAGTGTGAAAAAATATAGGTGTCTCCAAGTGAAAAGCAGTGTTTCAGCCTGGGATTACAAAAGCCTTTAAAACAAACACACACACACACACACACACAAAGCAGTTTGGTTCGATTAGGGCAATAAAAAATAACATAGGAAAGCTGATGTTTCCTGATGACTTTGTTTTGGTTTATTTCCCCATATGTGTGCCCCCCACCAAAAAAATAAAACGGAAAAAAAAATTGGATAGCTCTTGCTCAGACATCCGCTCTGACAAGATGCTAATTCCACGCTCTGCAAGCCTATGAGCTCCAGGACACCTTGTAGAGCCCTGTGAGGGCCAGGGGCAGCTGCCTCAGTAGGTGACACGATCCACATTCCAGAGAACCTGGAAAAGCGAGATTTCTCCCAATAATAAGGTTTTCTGCTCAGTTCTACATTTTGATACCCAAAGGCAAAGCCATGTGGGTGTAACTTTGAGGAAGTCAGATTAATCTTGGCACAGGCAATAGAGCACCCTTGTAGCGCTCCTGTTAGTAATTAAGAGAAAGAAGACCACAGGGGAGGGCAATAAAAATATTAATTAACAACATTTTAAATAAGAAAAATGGTAGCAATTTTTAAAAGGGAAGTTTTTGCCTGGAGAAAATGCTTAAATAGAACAATTACATGGGTCATTTGACAAATGCACACAAATAATTAAATAGTGCTATTGATTACACATTCAGATAATCACCAGATCCTCCGTGCCATGGCATGAATGTCCCAGTTCAGCCAGGTCTCAATCTTTTCTGCCCTAATCGAAGCTAGTGAAAAATATGCTTAATTTCAAGCACGCAGGCAAACACATTTCGCTCACTAATCTTTGCTTGAAAAATTCGTGCATGTTCACGATCTTCCTGGACAGGCCCCCATAAATTCCTGCAAGGCGACGGCGCTGTACAGGGTGAGCAAAAGGCTGCGTGGAGGAGCTGAGGAGCCTGGTGACGGTGTCTTAGCTGCACTGGAGAGAAACACATGCTCAGGGCTTGGTTTGGCGGGTGCAGGTTGAGGAAAGGGGAACAGAAAGACCCATGATCCCAAGGCATGCACAGAGATGAAATGAGATGTTTCATATTATCACAGTGCCAAGTGCCCTGCTTTGGCACCTGGCCATTTATTCTGAGTCACCTTTGCAGGAAATTGCCAGTTCTAGCCAGGCTTTCTTTTCTGCAAAACAGTTCTATACTCTGTCTGGAGCAGCCATGCCAGTGGTAAACCCAATCTCTTTTGTGGTAGTGTTGAAAGAAAAATATAGACATCCTATTAATATCCAAATTGTAGAGCATTCCAGATGTGGAATCTGGTTTCTTTAAATATGCAAACCCAAACAAATAAGGCTTGAAACAGTAAAATTCTGTTATTTCTTCTGACTCATAACTTTTTTTTTTTCAAAGCGGTTTTCAGGGAAATTTCTTCAGCAATTCCTGTGTTTTTGCCTGACTCATACTGAAACACCAAATTCATTATTAAAGCAAAATTGTAGCAAAGGGTATCTGAATACTTGGTATTTACCAGATTAAAATGCATTCTAAACCATATTCTATAATCGAGCATGCATTACTCAATAATTAAATATTATATTATTTATAAAAGCAAACAAAAAATCTTTCATGTAGGGAAAAAAGAGAAAGTCAACTACTTCAGAAACGACAATTCTGAAGTGCAAGATTCTTGTAGCACAGCATCAAAGCATGGCTGAGGTTGGAAGGGACCTCTGGAGATCATCTAGTCCAACTCCGCTGTTCAAGCAGGGTCACCATGCCTGTTGCATGGGGTCATGACTAGATGGCTTTTGATGGCTTCCCCAACGAAGGAGACTTCACAGCCTCTGTGGGCAACCTGTGCTGGTGCTCACAATCAAGAAGCTTTTTCTCATGTTCAGATGGAACTGCCTGTGTTTCTGTTTGGGCTTGTTGCCTCTTCTGCTTCAGGACAGCCTGTACCGGTTCCTGGGGTTATTCCTCCTTTGGTGCAGGAGCCTGCACTTGCTTTTACTGAGCTTCATGAAGTTCTCTGCCCATCTCTCCAGCCCATGCTGGTCCCTCTGAATGGCAGCACAGCCACCTTTCCCAAGCTTGCTGAGGGTGCTCTCTGTCCCTTGGTGAGTAGGTTGAACAATATCGGACCCAGTATTTATTCAAGGTATACTATTAGCTACAGGTCTCCAGCTAGACTTTGGGCTGCTCATCACCAACCACCCTCTAAGCACTGCCGTTCAACCAGTTCAGTTCTCAGTCCAGCTCTGTCTGCTCATCTAGCCCACACCCCTGAGGATGTGACAGAGACTGTGTCAAAAGCCTTTCTCAAGTCAAGGGAGACAATATCCACTGCTCTCCTCCCCTCATCTGCCCAGCCAGCCATCCTATCATAGAAGGCTCTCAGACAGTTAATCAGGATCTCCCCTTTGTGAATCCATGCTGATCACTTATCATCACATTCTTATCCTTCCAACACTTGAAGGTGGCATCCTGGATGAGCTGCTCCGCCAATAATAAATGCTCTTTTATTCTTTTGGTGCTTGTCAAATATTTGCGTTCGGCATTCTTGGTTTTGTTCAGAATAAGGGAGGTGTGTGTGGTGTTCAGACACTGGGGGGACGGGTGGCAGAGCCAAGTGCAAGGGTGTGCAGCAGGGTTATCCTCACGCCAAAGCCCGGCGGCATTTTCACCTCAGTAGAATACCTGAGATCTGTTGGACTCTCCATTTGAGGAAAAAAAAACCAACCCTATTCTGTTTGCCATGCAGGCATCAGACTACGAGCCCTTACGTCCCTTTTGATTTCAGCAGCAACCTTTTGCTAGATACACCAGTGCCCAGAACATCTGAGCCAAGGTGCACCGGGTGCAAATAGGCCCCAAGTCACCACGGGAGCTGAGTCAGGCCCAAATTAATGCTGCCCCGGCTTTATAACAGTATATAGTGGTGTGTGCTATTTTGCATGGTGCTCTGATGGAAGACAGACCTCAAAAGCAACAGGTTTGGAAAAGGATGCTGCAATTATGATTTCTTCACTTTTTTAATTAAAAAACTTTGCTGAAGAAAAGGGGAATGAAAGAAAAATCCCCCACCTCTAAGATCTGATATTTACCTTCTCACCAGCTTTACAGTTACTTATTTTGAACATTGCTTCATCTCCTGTCTCCCTCCCGCATCATCCCTAATTAAAGTACACACTCTCTGCACTTACCCAAATGAGGATGTGGGAGGCAGAATAGGATCAATCTCATTTTCCACGGCTGTATTGCCTCTCCAGAGCCGATGTGTGTCCTGCTCTCCACAACACCTACGCAGGGCCTGGAGGCCCTGATACGACCCTGGCTTCACCACAGCCCCATGCCGCAGGAGCTCGAGCTTTTGAGTGGCAACCTTCAAAAAAAAAAAAAAAAAAGAAAAGAAAAGAAAAATGGCAATGAAACAAGCTGCCATGACTCACCAGGCACACAGAGCAAGCATGTTTTGAAAGGAGTGAAAGTCTTTACAGAAGTATTGCTCTCAGCACAGTGGCATTGGGAAATACGTTCGTTCCTCACCGAGGAGGCTGAAGGAGCAGAGAGGACTTCTAGGTCCATGGCATGGTGACTTGGTGCCCTTCAGACATATCTTGTAGCTTCAAACCAAAGTGAAATTCAAATAAAGCCTTAGGACTGCAAGGACAGGTCTTCTGCAGCCTGTACTGAGGCATCTCAGATAACATCCCCTTCTCCTCACTCTGTTCTTCGCCTCCTCCCCAGCCGAGCCAGCAAAGTTAAGTTTCTCCCTGTCCCCAGGTTTCCAGCTTGCACACTGGCAGTGGAGTATGTCCTCCCCAGCCTCCCCACCACATCCTTGTCCCAATACCTCCCCTGTTCCAGCTGGAACAACGATGTGTTCCTGTGTTTCTAGCGGTCACCAGCTCTGCATACCACACTGCTGGAGGAGGAAGGCAGAGGACAGCAAGCCCAGCTGGGAATTGCCATTCTGCAAAGACACCACGTGTTGTGACCCTGCTGATGCAGAAAAGCTCGTTGCCATGGGGCCAGCTGGGATGCCAAGTAAGTTGGCTGGTGCAGAGCTCCCCACTGCATTGCTCTGGGGAGAGCTAGCTCGGGTCTCCCTATGCTATACCATTGCCTACAGGACGACGCCTGGAAAATTAAAAAGACATACATAGACAGCAGCATAAAAATGTCTCTCTAACCTAATTGATGCTTCTGTGGCTCAGACCTACAGAATAAACCTCTCCCTGCAAACATCATGCTTGAAAAGCAGCTCTGGTGCATGCAGAGCTGGTGCCCTGCAGTCACCACAGCCCCTCCTGCCCCTGACCCAGCACGAGAGCAGCCGTTAGCACAGGAAGAGCATACGAGAAAGGAGGGAATATCGAAATTAGCAGCCTCAGAGAATATCGATGCCTCACAGAGATTTTCAAAGACATGGTCAGAGAAGAAAATGCTGCACGTCGGTGCGTTGAATATTTGGCAATAGCCTTTTCCCTGTCTGAAATGCCAATGCACACTCCACTCTGTGTTAGACTAATGCATCAGTGTCCATAAAAGCTGAAAAGAGCTCCTGAGAACTTCCATAGCTCTGAATAATTAATTCCCAGAACTATAAAAAGCTACAAGGGAATGAAACTTAGAAAAATCTAGTTTTAGGATAATTATAGTACAAATCAGCAGAACACTTGGACCCCAGACAGATATATTAGTAGGACAGCTGAGCACAGTGGGTCAAATCCATACTCAACAGAACTGCAGTCTTGTACAGAGCTCCTCTGGGATGGATTTAACCCAGGGAGAGACAGCAGACCCTGTGGTTACATTGAAGAAGTGAGTAGAAATCTAAAATAGCACTTCTTAATATGAAAACCATAAAAGAAATGAGTGAAATTATTCCAGGCTAGCATTCATGCCTCAGGTGTAAACAGGGAGTGCTATTTTCTGAAATACTTTGTTGTAATACTAGTTGAACTCTCTCCCAGTCTTTATATATCACATCTACAATATTACTATTAGTCCTATAAAATCGCAGTTTGTTTGCAAGCCTTATCACATTTGGAGGTTTCTTAAAGCTCCAGATACTGCAATTGAGGTGTTGTTTGAGGAAGCAGACCTTCACTGTTCAAAGCAGCTACATGTTTCATCTATAATTTTCATGGAGAGTTTGAAAACACTAACCCTGAGCATTTTGTCACCAGCAGGCAAAACACAGATGTTTTCTTTCAGTTTCCCAGTTTTTAAGCCACTCATATGGTGCAGAGTGTCCAATCCTTTTTTTATCCTTTTTTTTTCCCCCATCCTTGGGCTACATACACTACTAGTTTGTGCTTGTTTAACTGAAACTCACTCTCAGGTAGGGGATGGAAGATGTTTACAGTTTGCAGAACAACACATACAGTCAAGTTGCATACTGGGCATGTGCTACATATGTATGTGCTATACAACATGCAAACACACAGGGAGCTTGGACTAGCAGAAAGTAAAAAAAAAGTTTATTATAATTGAGTGCTGGAGGAGCCAATATTTGGTCATTGTTTCGTGGTTAGCACCATGCACTCCTGCTTCCTCAGAGTCTCAGTGGGCTCCCTGAGGCTCTGTACAGGCTTCCCCAGGACAGATCCACTTGAATTTTGTCTGCTGCTCTCTGAAGGAAGACCATACCAACAGAGAGGCAGCATTTTTTTTTTTCTTAGCAGCAGCAGATCATCTGACAATTGATTTTTATGCAAGCCAGAAGTCCCAGGCTGTTCACAGACCAATGTTCAGGGAGGGGATTGCTGCCTCAGAAGAGTCATGTTGGTGACTCCCCAAACGCGCTCTGGGCTATGATTCAGCACAACTCCCTGTGTCAAGGAAGCAACCCACAAACCTGCTCCTGCTCCATAAAGGTCATTTCTGTGCTTCCACCAAAGATAAATAATTCCTTATATAAAAAGTTCCTTGCTTTCCTACCTCTCAAGCGGCAGGAGAGGATATGTCCAAGGACAGGCAGGCAGCAAGAAGAGTCCCAGCACCAATCCTCTCCAGGTTGTATCATCCACTGATCTTTTTTAGGTTTCATGGATTGACAGTTCCAAGGCAAGCTGGAACTCCTAATCTCCTGTGCTCATTAAAGCTTTGACAATTTTATGAGTGCCAGTGTTCATTAACCCTGCTCTCCTGGTAAAAATCCATATCAGCTCATGTTTCCATGAACTCCCCTTTATGGCATTACTTATTCCTGGTATTAAGTTACTGATACACTCACAGTGTGCTATTAAACAGATACTATTTTCTTAGTCGTGAGCAATGATTTTCCTATATACTCCATTTATTAAGAGCATGTACATCTTTTAAGGTGAAAGGCTTTCCCATAAGCCTGTGTCATTCCTTGAACCCCCACATGCTTAAAAAGAGACATACTTTGTAAAGAGGCATCCTTTCAGTCATTCATAACTGCAGCAGCTGTTTGACACTACACAAAAAAAAAGTGATGGAAGGAAGCAAGGATTACTGTATCAGTCAAAACCGCATCCACCTCCTCCACGGCATTCTTGCTGCAAGAGGAACAAAAATCTATTTCGACAAGACTTAACTCTCCAGGCTGGCATTACAGATAGGTGGAAGGTGAAATATCACATTTTTTTCCTATGTGTCCTAAATGTGTTCCTAAAACATTAAGGTCAATTCAAGATGCACAATAAGGGCACAGATGATGGAAAGAGCATGCTTATTAGCTTATAGGCAGGCCAGAGCAAGCAGGAGCTGCAGGCACAGAGGAAGGCAGAATGACAATTCAAAGCAATGCTGACAAGTTGAGGAAATGGCCTGAAAAGCAAAAAGGATGCAATTCAGTAGAAGCACAAGTAAGGTAGACAGGAACAATCAGCTGTGCAAACACAGCCCTGGTTCAGCACCAGCCATTCTGCCAAATGAAGGTCTGAGAGGGTGGTTGTGGATTGCACCCTGAACATGAATCAACAGAGTCATGTTGCTGTGGAAAAAACAGATGTTCTCAGGTAGATAAGCAGGAGCAGAGGCCATAAAATGTGAAATTGCCCTTGCACACCAGCTAGAGCACTGCAGCCCAGCTCGGAGAGTGGCATCGCCAGAGCCCAGCTGCACAGGCAGAAGAGCAGAGATGTCAAAGGCAGAGAGGCTGGGTGAACCAGGGTTTAGCCTAAATATGTGAAGCCTGAGGGGAAACACAATCCTTCAGCTATGCAAAATGTTGTCTTACAGTGGAGGGGGGTGTCCATGGTGAAGACAAGCAATGAGATTAACCTAAAGAAAGTAAGATTCAGAGTGTGCATGGGGGAAAAAAAACAACAGGTAAGGGCAGCAAACCACTGCACTGGATTGCTGTGGGGATTGAAATTTCCATCACACTAAGAACAGGTCAGACAAGTGGTGGTTAGAGATGATAAAGTGGTAGAACCTGCCTTTAGGCAGAAGGGAAGATTAAATGAGCCCTTGTGAATCTTTTTAGCACAGTTTCTCTATGATTTATCAGAGGCCTCGTAGCTGCAGTTTTCCACATTTCCAGGGTTTAAAATGCAGCTCTTCTCAGCAACACAGCTGTGGAGGTGTTGGGATAAAGTGGAGGCACTCTTATCTGAGCGCAGAGGCACCAAGTCACTTTTGGAGCAAGACCCGCAGAAGCCACCTACAGTCACCAGCAAGCTGTGCTTGGATTTCCTCATGAGATGAGAAAATAGCACTCAAACCTTTTCCCTCTAGTTTGTGCAGAATCGAAATATCAATAAATTCTTGGGCAGATCAAAAAAAAAAGGTAATATTTCAGTTTACCTTTCAGGTTGCTTAACCCTTTCTTCTCCCAATATCCCTTGTCAATATCTAAGCCTCTTCAAAGTCAAAGTGAAATAAAAACCTCAACTCCCTGTCTTGGAAGTGCCCATGCCAAGAAGTTGATATTTCTGAATTCCTTCTGATTTTACAACACAGATAATCCACAAATTGAGATTCACATAGACTTTCAGTCTCCTAAAAGCTATTGCAAATATATTGACTCAGCTCTACTTCAGTTCTTCTAATTCTAAACACTCACAAGTTTCATCAAGGGAAAGTCTGACTAGAAATGAGGAAAAAAATCATTGTGAGGGTGGGTGATCAAGCACTGAAGCAAGTTGCCTAGAGGAGCTATGGCATCTCCATCCTGCTGTTTCAAAACTCGATTGGATAAGGACTTGGGAAACCTCATCAGACTGAAGTTGGTCCTGCTCAGAGCAGGGCTGGGACTAGAGATCTCCAGAGTGCCAACAGAGGTAAAGCAGAAGTTCCCCAAGTCACGGCAGAATGTACCCTATGTCTTAATATGTAGGCCATGTTTTTTTCTCTGCAGTTAAGTTGTCAGCAAATGCCACGGGACTACTCCTACCCAGTGCCCCCAAGCACCAGAGCCAGGACTTGTTGCTGGTCCTTCACACAGCGCTTCCCACTCCTCAGCTCTCCACAGCTTATCGCTCCTGCAGGCTCTGGAAACTCGCTGATAAGGATGGATATTTACCTGCCTTGATTCATTAGGTCAGAATACAAATGAGGTACAAAGACAATACAATCTTTTTTAGAAAAATAAATAAATAAATAAATAAATAAACAAGCTCAATTTTGTTGCTATCCCACTGCTGTGTGGGAGAAAATTTATTCTAACTCCTCATCCTTTCCCATAATATTTGTTGATTTTTAAGGCCTCAATAAATCCTTGAAATGGCATCCACTGAAGACATTTGACTGCAGTAATGGGTTTAATCACTAGAGTCTCAAAAAGCACTTTATAAAGTTTGCAAAGCATTATCCCTGTCTGGGAAAGAAAAAAAAAAAACACACAGACAAAATAAAGGAAAAAAAAACACAGAAAAATAAACAGAAAAATATATATATAAAAAGGAAGAATATCAAGAAAAGGCTAATAATACTTCAAATCACAGTGAGAAGCTTAAACCCCTGGACACAATCCAGCCCTCCCAACTCTCACATATACATTAAACAGGCTTTACTCACAGCTGCACCAAGAAATATCTGCCTTTGCTTTGCTGGCTGAATGTTCAGTGGAAGTTATAGGTGACTAAGCAGGGCAGAAGGCGTTTAGCTTTTCAGAGCCAGGATGACATGGCAAAGCAGGGCTGTTAGAAGATGATTGTCTTACTTGTAACCAGGCCAATTTGGTATAACTCAGAGAGCCCTGTGCTGATGCAACCATGGCAGCACATGTAAGGAAACTGCTAGGTCTTCTTTCAATACTTTTCTGACTAATAGCTAGACAACAAGTTTGTAGGAGTACCTTATTTCTTTGAGTTGAGGTCAGATAATGTTTAAATACAACATGGAGACTGTTTGCTTAAAATATTTAAAAGCTGAACATACCTTTATATTTCTCATGAAAGGATGCACAGGACTGGGAAGCTTTTCATTACCTCCACAGCATGGCTCTCCAGCTAAGCATGGTGCTTAGTAGGTGGTGCAAAAAGACTCTTTCCAGGTGCTCGCATAGCTGAAGCATGGACAAGGCAATTGATTTGCTTGAATTTAAAAGGGCAGATTTATGGAGAATAACCGCCCTCTAACCTGGCAGCGAACATGTACTGCCTTTAAGGGATTCACAACTGTGTCTTGTTCTCATGGAGGTAATTGAGTTTACAAAAAGCATTTGATCTCTTCTTCCTTCCTTAGTTCAACATAGTTGAGAATCGCCCAAGTTATTCCTATTAGAATTGCAACAGGCTTTCCATTTCAATGCCAGTGAGTATCTGTCACACTGATGCATTTTGTACATGGAAAGTGTCACCAACACTTACAGTAGACAACAGCATATACATCACCAAATGGCTGACTGCCTGTTGTAAGAGAAGTAAGATGGGCTACCTTTTCCTGTGATTACGAAAGCAGGTTGCCTTGAGCAACGTGAATTCAGCGGCCAGATTCACAGATTTTGTACCATTTCTGTGCTAAATTGACAGTTCTGGCATTTAGCTTCATTTAAAGATAAAACAAAATTAAATACAAAAAAATTCACTGGGCGTCAGGATCACTCATATGTTCATTACAAGATTCCAAACTTTATCCATCATTTCCTGCAACTCTGTGTGAAGATGCTTGCCTGTCATCTTTTCAAAGAGATGATTTTTTAAAAGTTCATATTTGCACAGGACTCAAATACAGCTGGAAACCCCCTATATAACCTTTTTGCCAATGAAGAAAAGACAGAAACACCCTGCAGGAGATCCTGAACAGTATACACAGAATTAAATGAGTGATTCAAAAAAATATGAGCCTAAAGGACAGAGAAAAATTCAGTTATATCTCCAAGAAGATGCTTTTATTTATTTATTTAATGAAATGCACAGAGCCTTTACAATAGGCTTATACAATGTTGGGGTTACCAGCATTGAAATCATCTTTCATAGAAATGTGGCACAGCCACTATCAGAGATGGTTTGGCATCCTTCTCAGATATTACCTACTTGCACTGACACAGATGTTGAAGCTCCTAATTTATTGTCTTTTATTCAAATTACAAACTTGAGTAGAGTTTTAGAATTACATTTCCAAAGTAAATCATTAACAGTGACAGAAAAAGCTGTCCCATTAAAACTGTGTTTCCATGAAAGCTCTATGCATGAACCTAATTTCTCTGTCTACATTAAGTACGTAATTTCTCTGCTGAAAGTATGTGTCAAGGATAATTTATTTTATCTGAAACTTTGCAAGGCAAGAAGAGCCTTCTGTGATACGTGCACATATCATCTGCTGGGTTCTGTTTGATGCAGAGGGTCCAGACACTGCTGAAGTCCAAGATAGGAGCCAGGTACGTGCCAATTACTCCCTTCAGCCTGCAAAAAGGAAACCCTGAGCTTGGTCCCAAGCTTTGGGGCCTGGGAAACCAAGGCTGCATGTGACAGTGCCATAGACCTGGGTAGCATTTTAGGTTCAGTCTAAGTATGGTTGGGACAGCCCTCACCGTATATGTTGTGGTATTATCTGCAGTGAATTAAATCACATTTTTTATGTTAGATACAGTATTTGACAGTATTGTGTCCCGTACTGTTTTAAAAATGACTGAAACACTTTTTTATGTTGATATATGTTGTATGATCAAGCTGGCCATTTATGCCTTCTCTCTGCCAGCAAAGTGTTGCCCTAGAGGAAATTTGTTTTTCTGGCTTGTTCTAAATGTTTTGTCATTTTTCTGAGAGGCCATCCAAAGGGCTTTTTAACGACCATGCAGAATTTCTCCTGGTGCTTACAGGACATGCACGTGCCAAAGGCATGCAGAAGTCCAACTAGGCTTCAGAAGAAATTTCCAAATGAGTAAATTCAGTTATTCAAGTTCACTCTTGCAAATTCGTTATTATTTTCTGGTAGCTCTACAAATGGTCACTCAGTGACTGTGAACGAATACTCGTTTGTATTGCCCCCCATCGAGATGGTCAAACCTGAGACCAGCACATGCAGAGGATGCTCCCTTACCTTGCCCCATGTCCCCCAGCAGACTCCCTGCAAGACAAGCCACAAAGTCACATTCCCACTTCCTCGGAGTCCCAGTGCTCCCCCTCCATACTCCTGGCCAAGCCACTTCACCAGTCTGTGTCCAAGCTGCAGATCTGCTGCTTGCAGACAACCAGCCCACCCAAGCTACCCTCAAAGGTTAATGCCTGCCTGGGCTTTTCTTTGCATCTCCACATTGACTCTGTTCAAACACTGATAGCTTTTTGCAGCCCTTTCATTGCATCCAAAATCGGGCCTCCTGGCCGGGATAAGCATGCCCCTCTCCCAGATGTCAGTGCTAGAGTTCACATGCAAAGGTAAATGGACTGCCTCTTGTTTTGCATAAAAACATGCAGCACTGTTTTCTGCACCCTACGCTGATCCAAAAGACATCAAGTTGAATATCTCTTCTCCCCATCCCCGTTCCTCCTTTAAGGATCATGTTTCCTGCAGTATGATATTCTCTGCCAGTCTGTCCCAGTTGTGCTGATGAAGCTTGGCAAAGCAATCAGTAGGTTGATATTATATAAGATATTAGAGTGCTCTGAAACATGTCTGCCAGCATTTTGGTGGTATTACTCAAATCCTATCACTAGAGACTCATCGGCTTAATTTCATAGCCATGTGCCTTCAGAGGTGGCCGTGCTCCAAACCAATGCCTGCCGAACGCTTGCCTTTCTACCCGGTCAACTGCTCCTTCATTTGCTTTCTGAAGTTAGCAGACTGCTAGTTACCTTTTTTATATGAATTAAGTCTGTGTTAAATGGCATGAGGATCACGAAGTCTGGTACCTGAAAGACAGAAAAAAAAAAAAAAAAACAGAATTCCATCTCCATACATATTCATCAGAAGCTTTTCATGCTTCTGATGTATAGGACACAGGTGTAGCCTGTGTCTCTCAGTGTGTAGGAAGAATACGGTTCAAAAGACAAACCAACATCTTAGGTCCTCCATATGATACATGCAAGTCACTAAATATTCTTGCAGTTGTCTGTGATGTCTGACGGCTCCACAACAACACTAGATTTCTAGCCTCCCTGTGCTGCAAGGTGGGCTGGCCAGACAGTCACAGAATGTGCTTTTCCAGAGAGGAAGCTGAGGGAGAGCGAATGATAAAATAGTTGCCCCGAAACAACTCAGCATGGGGAGCAGCATGTGGCCTTGTTTGGACTCATGGGTCATTCAGTCCAAGCTAGTGGGGCAGAGACGGCAGGATGTTACCTTCTGCTCAGGAAGAGACTCAACTGTTTCTTGGTATTGTTTCTAGCCCGTTTGCTAGGAAGGATGCTGAGTAAACCCATTCATCTTTCATTCAGTTTTAGGAAAATCGTACACTTCATTGGTTACAGACCCTCCCACCTCCCCCGCGTCTTCCCTTGCCTCATATCCCAGCTCCTTCCTGTGTTTTTTTTCACCCTGCTCCTATTCCTACTCTTGTCTATCCTTGCATCTGTTCCATGCTCACTAGTCTGTCTCATCTTCATCTCCTCTTCACAGCTCAGCTTTACAAACCCATATGCTTCTGTTACAGCTGTAACACTTCTTTGCTCTTGACTCCAATGCCCAATTACAAAGGAAGAGCTCAAAAGACTATGCTGGGCTGCAGCCTAGGATTTGGAGATGACATTTTTCAAGAACTTACCCAAACTAGCAGGTATCTCAAAAGTATGTGAAATGGTGATTTTTATTTCAGAAGTTTGCTTCTTGACAAGATTTGAGCAAGAGGGAAAACTGATCCTCTTCCAAACCAAACCCTGCTACTGAATTTCAATTCCTGCTCAAGCATGAGGCACTGCAGTTTTGACTGAAGAGCTCTATAAATTCTGGCTTTGAGAAATTAAACTTTTTTGTGTGAGACTTTTTTTTCCAAATTTGCTGGATCAGATATGCTGAAGCTTTGCAAAGATACCTAAGACTGAGACAGGCAATATCATATGTAATCCACTTGGATTCCATCTTGTCAGACAAATACATCAGCAACTGAATACAGGACTTGAGAATGGAAATGATTTAGTAACTGTAAGACATATACCCATGCAACATCTTCTAGTTTTTTAAATGTGCTTCTCATCCAAGAATCTGGAGGCACAGAAAAAAAAATAAGCCTTGTGGAAATACAAGTTCTCTCTCATGTTCTTCAGGTTGGTAGCATTAAATATTAGAGACTAACTTCATTATGTTCAAAAAAAGATCAACTTTCTGTTGCCAGTGGCTGTTCTGAATCTCTTCCTAAAAACACAATTCAAACTCCTGCAGGACAGAAAATGCAGGA